GTCTCGACGCAACAGACGTTTATGCGTGAATCGCGATAATTATGGTATGGTACGCACTCAGTTGTAGTTATACGATTTATTCACACATGCACAATCGAACACCGAGATATATCAAAGTCTCGTTGAAATCGAAATCTATCGATTGGTGAAACGAGGAACATGCGCGGTGAACGTTCGGTTTGGTGAACCAGTTATATATTTTTAACGTATCAGTATAATCAAATTTTGAGAAAAGGATTATCTTCTTTCAATTTTATGTTAAAACTCCGTTGAAATATTAAACGATCAATTAGTATTAGTTAATAGAAAAGATATTACTCGTGATATGCGGATCTTCTTATTACGCTTATGATAAAAATTTGACATATGATACACAAAATATATAACTTTATCAAATAAAAATAAAAAATATGGAACGTATTTCATTTTTCTCAACTATATTTCTATTTGAAGCTAGCTAACATTTCATTAACTCGCAATATCGTAACGTTTCTAAATAACGTTGATATTGACGAAAATGATTAGCGTGATCGTTATGCCATACGTGCGCAAGCTATAATTTTGTTTTGGAATTATTGCATTATTGGAGACGTTGCGTTGCCTCTCACGGAATATCGACACTCATATTAAAAACCGCAACCTGTTCGTGAATTTCATTTTCCCCGATTAACGAGAAGAAGCATGAAAGCGTTTTCTCGTTACCATCACAAACTTGTCGCGCAGCAAATGCCTCGTCATCCGATCGAAAGATCGGCTGAATTAAATATTCCGCGACAAAACAATATCTCGAATAAATATTCGCTTATTATTTTCTCATCTCTCTCATTCTTTTAAAATAAATTCAAAGATCAATGACAGCAATTTTAATAATTTCAAAAAAATTATGCTGCAATAATAATCTTTCCATAATTTAAATAAAATTTTCTAAATATAAAATAAAATATAAATAAAATATAAAATATAATATAAAAATTAAAAATTAATTGAATACATTTTTATAATTTCAATTTATAATTAACTTTTAAAAAGCTTGAAATAGATAAAATATATTTTTAATTTTATTTACGCTACAGAAAAGAAATCTGAGATAAATCTCTCTCTCATAAAAAAGTTACGATATATTTAAATGTGAAACAATTAAAAATATTTTTCAAGAATATTTAATGACGTAAATTAAAAATTCACGATAAATAACAATTCTTCTAAATTTTTGTTATAGAAAAGTCGATTATATTAATTAATCAAATTATTTAATAAATAATGACTCGCTCTATATATACTTTATATAATTATTAAAACATCTCCAAGTATGTCATTTATTTTCTAACATTTTTAAAATTTTTTATTTAATTTGTTTATTAATTATTATCAAGTATTATTTATTATTTGTCTTTATCAATAAAAATGATAATCAGAGCGTTTTGAAAAACTTATCTAAAACACAATTTTGAATATAAAAGGAAAAGTTCTTGTCGATGTAGAAACAAATGTAAAATATCTAAATTCTTGCAATTAATATCATTTTATGCTACTTATTATTATACTAAGAATTCTCTCACAATTACTTCCCTCACAACTATTAAAATACGTGATATACAGTGATAGCTTCTCATGAAACAAACACAACAACAAAATCAACCGATATCGCGAAAAGTGTCTTTAGCATTTTGATATATTCGAAATTTTGATAACATGTTTTTCTTAAAATTATTTTCTTTTTTCATATAGCAAATTTTTTGCGTTGCATTCACAAGTTAATTTTATAATGAATAAGGTACAGTGAATAATGCATAATAAAATATAATAAAAATATCAAGAAATATTTAAATATTTCCATAAATAGAAAAATTAATAAATAAAATATAATAGAATTGAAATCTATCTTCACAACACCAGTGGTTTATTTACAGACTGTCTTGAACCACAAACAAACTGATATTTCCACTTGGAAAAGGTATCATTTTTATCAAACCATCGCAATACAAAATATAACTCCCTACGAGCATCTATTCCATCGTAAACACGTGAATCGATTGACCCTTCGCAATAAAAACGAACAGCAGGTCCGCCAGGGTACTCTTCATTGGGGTTGCCACCCGGTACGCTCTGCGACCTAAGTCAAATCATTTACGCATGTACGTATGCCGGTCACGTATACAATATACGCGCATATACGCATACACGCATATATATCTTTGGCACCCACGTTACCGTCACAACGGCGTAATCCACCTCCCATATGATGTGACATAGCACGAAGCGTGCTGGCGGGCCCTCCTCGGTGGCCCTCTCGCACAGTCGCGGAAAAATCAATAACGAGCGTGGTGTGGTGCGGCGTGGCGACGTTACTCTTTCAGGTGGCCGCCTGCCTATGCCTGTGCCTGTGTCTGTGCCTGTACGAGGAAGGAAGCCAAGCCTGGCAGACGAGAGGGCAGGCGGGAATGCAGGCGAGCGAGCAGGCAGGCAAGCAGCCGACCGATCGAGCGCGCACCGGTGAAAACGAGTCACCTGCGAGGCACACACCGTCGTGGCAGGCACGCGATCGAATTCCCGCCTTCCGCGCCGCACGAGACGTGTATGTATGTATGTACGCACGTATGTATATACGCTGCTGCGCAACGATGGCGTTGCGCGGCTTTATCATTTATCGAGGCGGCGCCAGGACTGCACTCCTCCTAGAGATAGTTGGAGCCTATCGAAATTTTCGACTCATCTCTCGTAATTGTGAGAGAATAATCTAAATTCAGAACTTTTATAACATTAATAATAAATAATTTCAATAAAATTGAACCAATAATTCGTTTCCATTGTTTATGCGATCGATAGACCATTTATCATAATCCATTTATCGTAAATAACGTTAATTTTATCATGTAATAACGTTAATTAATATGTGTATTAATAAAATAACTTTCATTATTTAATAATTATTTTATAGAAAATCACTTTTATAATTCGATGAATTTATTAATAAACGATAGAAAATCCTAAATAAATATTCCCGTTTTTTATTACAAAATTCATTTAATATCTTCATAGCTTGTTGTTTCAATATTTTATTACGTCCTTATCGTTATGGGCCAAATTGAACTTAACTGAAGAAGACATTTGTCCTTTGAGAGATCGAATAAATAATATGTATTTTCAATATACGTATTTCAAAATCATCTATTTACTATTATATTCAAAGATTCAGCATATAGTTACATCAGCAAAGATGAATAATCAATATTATAAAATCTTTTATAATATGTTTATTAATTTAATGCATTGATTTAACGATTGATTTAATGCAATTATTTCTTATTTGAGAAATATATGTATGTGAGTATATGTAAATAAAAAACTCTCATTTTAAGAATAAAAAGATTTTAAATTTGTTTCGAAAGATCGTGCACATTATAAAACATTAAAAGATTAAACATTTCAACGAATGAAATGCGTGAAAATTTAATATGCCATTTAATATGCCAAATACACTTTCTCGCAAGCCTCTTTTATCGTTTCTATATTCATATTTTTTCTCGAGAAGTTTTACGGCGTTTTTGATATATATCCCATTGTTATCGAGTGCGCGGTACAATGACACGGCGCAGAAACTTCATTGCAGGTTTGAAAATTAATCTAAAACAAAGTTCTCGCGACATACGCTATAACCCAACGTATAATACTTCTCTACATAGTTCCCGATCTGTATAAGACATCCAACATCGTAAATTAAAGATACGATTTGTTTCCACTCTACGAACAGTTGCGTCGTACAACTGTTTCAACTCCGAACAGTTGCGTCACTCCACCAGCTGCTTGCTCTACAAAGAATATGTTACGAGTAATCGCAAAAAATTATGCAAGATTACATAGTTACGGTTGATCACGGAGAACAAAGAATTCTGATGAACGCGCGTTATATACTTCGCGAGGATAATAGTACAATTATATATAATTATTAACTTCGCGCTCCGCTGTATGTGTTTCGTAACCGATTTTGCAAAGCCGCTCGATACACAATCATGCATTAATACCATTTAATTCCAAATACCTGCATTAATTACTTGCCGGAGAATATCTGATATCTCTGTATGCTATAATAACATAATGAACCATTATTGAGATCATCACGATGTGTGTGTATATAAATATTATTTCTCATAATTCTCATAATTATTTTTGTTCTATTCGCCAACAATTATCTCTCTAATATCACTTGATCAATTGAATCTTGGAATAGCATGGATATATTTCATTAAAGTTATATCAAGCATTATATTTCAACGAATATTTGAAATCAACGAACATCTTCATGAACGTCTATCTCGATAAATTAATCTGTAAGTTATCTAACTATAATTATTTACAAACATGTCTTTTCTACCTGTTTAATTATTATATTTTCCCTATACCTAGCGTTGAACCATTTCGAGCATGTATAATGCATCGAGCTTGCATCGGATGCATCATTAATGAGTGGCATTCTACACGCGGCGGAGGTACGCGCGTGTCAGCAGTCTGCACGAGTATCTAACTATGCGCTTGCGCGCGATATGACGCGCGAGGGTTGGAACGAGTAAGGGAGACCAACGTGTATATACAGATGCGAGCAAGAGGGATGGAGAGCCGACCAATATGGCGATAATATGGAAGAGCGAGGGAGAGAAAGCGGAAGAAAGAGGGAGGATGATAAGGGGAGAGACGGTGTGTAACCTCTTGATGGGAGGAAGAAAAGAAAAGAAAACGATATCTGATATCCAAAATGTTCTCTTCGATAAAGCGAGAGAAAGAAAGGGGTAGATTCGGATGAAGGGATATCGATAATCGGCAGAAAACGTATGAAACGCGAAAGCAGTACGAGAGTTATATGGCACGGGAGAAAGAGAGACAGAGGGAGCGCAGAAGGGGTGGATACCACCCCTTCGGCCATCGTACACGGCACGGACCGGCGCTGTGATGCGCTGCGCCGCCGCCGTCGTGGCGCCTCAGGCAGCAACCCTTAGAACACCTACCTCATCTTCGCCGGTGGCCACCGTGTTGACGGAGTCCATGCTCTGCGATAGCGGCGCGTCCATGATGCAGGCGAGTTTGCCGGACGGTCCGGGGTTGCCGGGGGCTGCGGTACGAGCGGGTGGCGGCGATGAATCCACCGTGTCCCGTCTCGGTCGTTTTAAAGCGGGCGGCGTTATGGTTGTACCGGCGAAGACGACGGGCGCCTCCAGGAC